AATATACTTATTTAAAAATGAGGTATTTAATCGCAAAATTATTGTTGGTCGGTCATTTTTGCTAGGTGAGTGTACCTATGGCTGAAAATGACTTTTTTATTCAAATTTGACAGTTGATTTTAAAGTTCTAGAGTCTCTGAGACTTAATGTCTTAGGATGTTAACCTAAGTAATAGACCTTAAATCAGTATTAATAGGTGTGTTCTGATTAGAACTTGTCTAGCTATGACCTTAAAAATCTTAAGATTATGTTTACAGGATTACCTTATATCTCTTATACGTAAAAAATAATCACTAATATAGATTCCTAATATTTGGATACTGGAACTATAAAAAAATAAAAATAAATCATTATTTATAATATAAAAAAAGTTAAGAAATGTTTAATAATTTCATCATCCTTTATATTTATTTTTCATATTACTTTACAATGAGTGGATCAATTAATTATAATAATTTAAAACATCCAAAAATAAGATTAAATGCAAAAGGATTAAATGCAAAAACAAAGGTAATTATATATCAACTATTTGTAAATCATGTTTTTAAAATTGTTTACCAACTTATTATATATTCCTTTAGACTTTAAAATTAAATACAGCATCTAAAGAAAGTTATTTAATGGATAAATTAACTGATAAAACATTGAAGATTAAACATATTAGAAAAAATGATACTATTCTTAAAAGTCCAAGTGATGTTAGAAGGTATGGAAGTAAAACATCATCATCAGCATTGTCTTAACCATCATCAACATCATCTACATAAATAATGCCATCTAAGACAGGTTCTATTGAAGGTTAGACTTAATTTATACCAGTAGTTCAAACGTTTATTAATATAATATATTATCCTAATTTACTAGCAAATTTTGCGCAAGAATTAACAAATTAATTAAAATCAGTCAAAATAATGCAGTGAAGCTTAATGATATCAAGAGTTAACTAGAAGGTTTAGAGAAGAAATCCGAAAATCAGAATACTCAAATATCTGAAATATTGACACTACTATTAAAAGAGCGTGAATCTGAAATTGATCCAAAGGCAAAAGATCCAAAAAAAAAACAAAAAATCAGACGAATTTTATCAAGTAAATATAAATTACTTTTATAATTATATTATTTACTATATTCGTTTATATTACTTGTATTTATTTATATTATAGGATATAATCAAAAATCTTGCATACGAATTATTTCATGAGCATAAAACAATACCTGAAGATCAAATAAAAGAAAGACTTAAAGAAAAATTAAATGCTGACGAATATTGTGCTAGTATCCTTCAGAAATCTGAAGAAAGGTTTATCATTCAATAAGTTGTGGAAAGACAAATTAAATTCGTCTGTAAGTAATGTTTAAATATATCATATTACTAGTACTAATTTAGTAAATCAATCAGATGCTTAGTGCGATTCGATCCAAAAAAGGATATTATGTTAGACGCGTAAAAGAAGGTTAGGTCTACATTTGGTATAATCCGCATCAAGCCGTTTAAGGATACTTTCACCAAACAACGAGATGGAAGCAAAATGCAAATACTAGAAAAGTATATAAAGAATTGTATGATCGCAGTGACCTGGATGATGATGAATCCGATACATATGTATCTTTAATTATTAAATCAGTTTTCATCAATGGAAAAGAACGAACCACTTCAAATGCTATTTGGGTACAATCAGTTCTTGAAATAATTTTGACGAAAATAATCTCTCTACAAAAATTGAATCAGTAGATATTGATACCGTATTAGAAACGATGAATGACATGAAAATGGTAAATAATTTAAATAGTTTACTTAATTTATATGATATTTTGAATTAATTATATTAGGATTCGGATGATAATGAAGATGACGAAGATAATCATGAAGATAACGAAGATAATCATGAAGATAATGAAGATAATCATGATTTCCAGGAATATTCACCCAACTTTCGCCTCATGATAAGACCGTTGACCATAATAGTATGACGATGTCTTTGGATCATGATAATAGTCTTATGCAATTAAGCGATGATATAGAAATGTACTAATTTTATTTTTTAATTGCGGGAATTTGGCTATGGAAAAGATTGGATCCTTCATTATTTAATTTTTTTCGTTAGTTATGATAGGGGGCTATTTTTATTTTATTAAATAAAATATTATATGCATTGTTCAATTAATTGTATTATATACGTTGTTTTACTATATGCCATTGTTCGACATATAAATGGTATTGATCTACATGATTTTGTTTTATTGGTATGCTTAAATGGTGTTGATACACGCGTTTTTAAATGGTGTTGTTTTATTATGCCGTTGTTCTACACTTAATTTACATGTTTTTAATCGGTGTTGTTTTACAAAGGGTTTGTTGTTCAACATTTTTTGATTTTAAGCAACACATGGCGTTTTCCAACACTTTATACGCCGGTCCAAAACTTACTGATGTAAGTCAATATCGCTAACAAGTTTATAGGTTAATAATTAAGAGCTGAGAAGTTACTTCTGCCACTTAAGATCTTTTTTTTTGCTTGACACTAGAAACCCAAGCATAGAGGAATCCTTTTTTGGTGACGGTGGTAGTGGTAGTGATGGTGTTATCAGCATCTTGGGAAGTCAACTCTGGAAAAATGAAAGATATGTTGTAAAGGCGAGGAGACATTTTGGCAGTAATTTTTCCTTGCTTTAATCAACGACGCAAGGTAGCTGACGATACTCAAAGTTTCTTAGTTGCTTAGTGTGAGAGGAAAGGTGTAGTTTACGATTTATGATTTACGATTTTGAATTTTTATAATTGCAACTGTATTATTAAGCAAACAATTGTAACGGTAAGGTCTTTATTTTCATAATTTTGTATTTTTGTGCTATTGAAATAAAATATCATTACTATATAATATCAAATGATTATTCCTGAATTATCTACAAATATTTTTATTGTAATCTAAAAGATAAATACAAACGTGATAAAAAAATGTGACATAATTTTCATGAGATGGATTGATAATTACGAAATACAGAAACAGATAATCGTATACGAATCTGCATATAATTAGTGTTGAACAATATTTAACTTTTTTAAAAACAAAATTTTTTTATATCGTTTGTAAAGAAGTATGCCCATACCACCAACAAAATACTCAGTTGAATTACCTAATACACGAAAACCCGGGCAAACCGGAATTTATAGAAATGTTCTTTACCCTGATACTTTAACCGTTACTACAAGGTTTATTACGCTTTTATTTAACAAATTCAAGTATGATTTGCTAAAGCTATTGTATAACTTATTTAAATAATAATGTAGAAAAGAAGTAACGACATTATACGAGAATTTCCAAGTTGGTAAGTAACGAACAATAATAGTCGTGATTGCAAAATAATTTATTTCAATAATTGAAATAACAGTCAATTCTCATTTATAGCTCTCAAGGTTTCAAAGGATAGGAATTGTATCGGTCATCGTCCTTACAACAAACAAACTGGACAATATGGCTCATATCAATGGCAAACTTATAAACAAGTTGCTGACCGTATTGAAAATTTTGGATCAGGAATTTTGCATTTAAACGAAAATGTAAGTTCCATGATCAAATTAAATATGCGAGCGTTAATGTATTAATCAAGATTTACTATAGGTGATAAAGAATCCTAAATTCGATCAATGGGCAGTTGGAATTTATGCTAATAATAGACCTGGTAAATAAATTTATTCATAATTTTTGCCCACATGAACTATTGTCCAAATATATTAATACTATACAATTCTTTTGTAGAATGGTTTATTACTGATCAGGTAATTTTAATTATTTACTAAATTAAATTTCAGGTTGTTAACACGTATTGAATTCTCTCTTAGGCCAATTGCGCATATAATCTTATTACAGTCGCGTTGTATGATACTTTGGGACCAGGTAAAAAGTCAAACAATCTATCATTCCCTGTGAACTTATATGAATTAATTATTTTATGGATTTATAGATACTGTGGAATATGTTATAAACCATGCTGAAATTTCAATCGCTGTTGTTGGTGTCAATCGAATTCCTGGATTAATTCAATTGACTTCTAAGATACCAAATTTGAAAGTTATCATCTCAATGGACGAATTAGATGATGATCTTCCAATACCTATTGGAGGTACTACGTCAGGAAAAGTGTTAAAGGCTTGGGCAGAAGACAAGGGTCTTACGCTATTAAGTTTTAGTGAAGTAGAAAAGTTGGGAAAGAATAATCCTCGAAAGCATAACCCACCTTCTCCAAATAATATCGCTTGTATTTGTTATACTTCGGGCACTACTGGAGTTCCAAAGGGTGCTCTACTTACACACGCGAATTTCATAGCAGCATCTTCTTCAATAACCCAAATTTTCGAAGGTGGTCAAGATGATGTATGTTTTCTACATAATTTTATTTTATTATCTTTATTATTATTCATTATTCATTAAAAAAAATTTCTTTTTATTTTACCCAATATTTAATAAAGGTTCTTATATCATATTTGCCTGTAAGTCTTTATACTTCCCCCTTTTTTTTGCTTTCACTAAACACTAATTGGCATTTAAATAGCTGGCTCATATTTTTGGTCGTACTGTGGAAACAACTGCAGTGGGATATGGTTGCAGTATTGGATATTTCCATGGAGATATTCTTTCGCTTATCGATGATCTTGCTGAACTTAAACCTACATTATTCCCATCTGTTCCAAGGTTGCTTACACGTATTTATGCCAAGCTTCAACAAGCTACAGTTGAAGCTCCAGGAATTAAAGGTGCATTATCAAGGAAAGCAGTAGCTGCTAAACTCGAAAGACTAGAAGGAGGACAAGGATATACGCACCCACTATGGGATCGATTGATATTTAACAAAATTAAACAAGTGCTAGGAGGGCGTGTGCGTTTAGTTATAACGGGTTCTGCCCCTATAGATGCTTCGGTATTACAATTTTTGAGAATTGCTTTTGCAACTGAAATTATTGAAGGTAGGTTTAATATTAATTATTAACCATGATTGGATCGAATACGTGGCCCAGGTCGACCAGCCAGAATGCAAGCATTGTTAATTGAATGACCTTAATTGGAGTACTATAATTAATTATTAGGTTATGGACAGACTGAAGGTGTTGCAAATGCGACAATTGGTTTTCCAGGTGAAAACAAGGCCGGTCATGTTGGTGGCCCACAACCATGGTAATTTTTCATATTAAATTTATTATATTAAATAAATATTTTTATTCTTAATAAATATTTTTTACTTTTAAACTATAGTTGTGAAATTAAGCTTGTGGATGTACCTGAAATGAAGTATTTATCAACTGACAAACCATATCCTCGTGGTGAATTTTGTTATCGTGGAAAAAATTGTTTTATTGGTTTTTATAAGGATGAAGAAAAAACGAGAGAGTCTATTGATTCTGACGGATGGGTTCACAGTGGTGACATATCTTATATTGATGATCGTGGTAAATATATATATGGTTAACAAAATTTTTTTTTAAATTAATAATTATGTATTAATAAATTTCTCCGTTGTTTAATTTATAAAGGAGCAATCACCATCATAGATCGTAAAAAAAATATATTCAAGCTTTCTCAAGGAGAATACGTTGCACCCGAAAAAGTAATTACAATTTAATCAGTATGCTAAAAATTTTATATATCTTTTTATTTACATAGTATCTATCCTCTAGATTGAAAATGTTTACCTTAATTCCAAATTTGTACTACAATTATTTGTGCATGGAGATTCTCTTCGTAATTTCCTTGTAGCGATTGTGGTACCAGATCCGGAAACTTTCGTACCTTGGGCAAATGTGATAACAGGAAAAAATATTTCATTGGGAGATGAAGATGGATTGAAAGTTTTAATTAATGATCCAAAAGTTTGTAAAGAATTTTTAAAAGAAATGGATAATACTGGTAAACGTGCTAAACTCAGAGGGTAAATACTTAAGATTCTGAATCTTTTGAGAATATAGTTTTATAATAATATATATTTATTTATTTATATATTTTATTTTTTTTTGGTTTAGATTTGAATTTGTTAAAGCTATTTATCTTACAAACGAACCGTTCTCCGTTGAAAATAATTTACTTACTCCTACGTAAGTATTTATATTAATGCTCATATTTTATTAAGAAACATACTAATAAGTTTCCATAATTTCAGATTAAAACTTAAACGTCATGAAGCTCAAACAGTTTTTCGTAAAGTAATTGATGATTTATACATTAAGGCTGAATCTAATACTTCCAACACCAAAGCTAAATTGTAAAATTTCGTATTATCATGAAAAGAAACATTAATTATCTATTTATTAAATAAATGAGTAGTTTTAACTTCTATTCTAAATATACTTATATATATCTAATTCTAAGAGAAATGTATTTAAGAAAGTTGACTGAATTAATTTGATCATTTTATTTCTCAATTTATTAGAATTAAAATATGAATACTTTTATATAAAAAAATTATTAATAAAATAAATATTACAGATTTCTGGCAAAAGTTTAAATGCTTTTGGCTCAATATATAACTTAAAAATTTTAAATTTTTATTAAAAAAACTTTAATATATTTATTAAAATACAATATGCTACACATTTGATACTAAATAATTAGTACTTTTTCATGTTTTCATTTGCTTCAATCATAGCCTGAATTTGCTGTGATATACTATCAACCAAATTTTCAATAGTTTTTATCAGGATTTGATTTCATGTCCTTATAACATGTCAGTTAAGTTAAGTAAGATTAAAAGGTAAATTTTCCTTTCACAGATGCTTTTCTTGATTTCATTCTATAGATTTTTAATAGGATTAAAATCTAAACTTTGAACTGATCATGAAAATACACACAGATCATTTTCTGCATGAACTTTTTTACAAGTTTCATTTTGTACAGGTGAGCATTATCCTCTTAAAATATACCATTATAGTTTAGAAATGCATATCTCATAGTTAATATGATATGTTTGTAAAGAATTGTAACTTATATAATATTAGTAACTATTTTAGATAATGGAACAATTGATTCTAAGTCTTATCTTGAAAAGTAGTCTCAAAAATCTGACTAGAGCTGAAGTTCATATCATACTCAATTATAACAGCTTTGTTGAAATTATAAAAAGATTGATTTGTCATTCTATATGATCTTTGATCAATCATACTTTATTTAACTTTAGTACTATACAAGACATATCTTAATATTTATTGGTGTGATTAAAGGCTTTCATCAAACAAATAATTATTTAACTTAACTGCATAAAGTATCTTACTAATAGTTTAAATTAAAATATCTTAACTAGTATTCTGTTATTAATTTCTTAAATATTTTAGTTATTTTCAAAAGAGAAAATTTATTTTGATTAAAAATCAAAATAAATAAACTAAATACATATTTATATGGTTTGATTTAAGTAAACAAAGTCTGGAACATCATATGATCAAAATATTTATGCAGTTATATAATGTAATCAGTATGAAATATCCTCTAAAAGATAGTATTTAGAGAATTTTAATAGAAGTCTGTATTTCAAAATTAAAAATGATTATTTATTATCATTATTTAATAAATAGTTTAATTTTTTGGTAAAATGTTTTACAAATTAATTAATTTTTAGTTTATAAATATAATAATTATTATTAAAAAAAAAATGCATATAAAATTCAATATAATATTATATATTAAAAATTTTAAATTATAATTTGATAATAATTTTTCTATTTTGATTTATTTGTATATATTAAATAAATTAAATATTAAAACAAGTAAATAAAAATTCAGATTATATATTTATTCTAATATTTTTAAATATACAGTAAACTCTCAATAAGTATATGTTCTCAGAACTGATTATTTTTATACATTTAAGAAGGATATGTATTTATTGAATAGCCAATAAAATAGTATATATTATTACACAATTATCACAACCTTAAATTTTTCATTGATTTTATTAAAATTTGAATATTTTTCTCTAATATATTTCAAATTAAACATTATATAATATAATTATAAGCTAAATATTACTAAAATATGTATCGATATTTATTTGTCACATTGTTCTTGTTTTTTTGATTTTAAAAACCTTTCAATTTTTTTTACTAATTTTAAATATTTTTTTGCATTATCCTATTGGAATAGAAACATATGTACAGTATCTAAACTAGTAATAATAATGCTAGTACTAATAATTAGACTTTTATAACTATCATCTTTCTCTTTTAGATCTATATTTTTTCTCATTAGTATTTCTAAAAAAATAAACAAATTCTTTAATAACTTGATCATCTTCAAAAACTTTGAAAATAACATCCTTTTTAGAATATTAAGGAATTCTTTTAACTACATTAAATAGAAAAGATTAAGAGTCTAAATATTATTTATAAGATCATTAAGCATTAAGTCTTCAATCAATGAATATCTTTAACACATTTCTTTCTTCATTAATACAAGAGAGAAGAATTTTTACATGATATCAGTAATTACAAATTATTTTAACTTTAATCTCATCCTATACTTTAATCATAAAATGAACTGCTTATAAGATATTTATGCATAAGTTTTCTATATATTTACCTACTTTTATATGTTATAATATTAAACTTTTAAAAATTTAATAATTAATTTTAATAATATAAAATATATTGAATTTTATATTATAACTTATCATATATGAAAATAACAATAATTTCTTTTAAAAGTCATGTTTATTTTAGTATTCATTAGCTGGATTTTTAAGATTGTATTTGATGGTAAAAATAAATATTAGTATATTATAAAGTAAGGTCATCTATTTTGTGACTAGAACAGTTATCAATAAAAGTAATATATATTGATCAATGTTTTAAACTAACTTAATGATCAAATTTCTAAGTTTAATCTTGAAAGAGTAATGTAATCATCTAAACTTTGACATTATTATAGTATATTATAGGTATATTTTGAATTTTTATATTTTTAAAATATCGTAATCTTTTATATTTATTAATTACTAATATTTTAATTTATAAGAGTTATCAGCATTCACGTGTAATATAATTAAAAAGTATTCTTTATTTATCTTACATCTAACAAAACATTTGATTGCAAGTATTTAATCCAATTTTAACTTATAATTATACAGGATAAGTATACTTTTTTTTTTTTATTCTTTTAATTTATATTACTAAAATTTTACTTATAAAATTATCCAGTTTCATCCATTTGTAGATTCTTTTAAAAAGGTAATTAAAATAACTTTCTCTCAATAAAGATAAAGCATTAGTAATTACAATTTTATCAGCAGATAAAGCTTCTCTTTTAAGCTTCTATTGATGAATTCTATTATGATCTTTAATTTTTGAAATTATTCTTGAGAAAATTAAAATGCATTCTAAGAAATCTCTAATCTATTGGCAATCAGTTTAGCTTTTTTAATAATATGATATCACTTAAAATCATTTAATATTGATAATTTAAAACAAAATTCTTTAAATACAAGTTCAAGTTTTGAATAGGAAACGGGTTTATATTATTTAACATTTAGATTAATAACTTCTAAATTAAGTCATTTTTCTGATATTTGTAAAAATACAAGTAATTATACTTTTATCAACTCCAAAGTTCTACTATTTTTCAATCTAATTAATATATTAAGCTCAAGTTTTTTTATTATTATTGTAAATATAAATACAAAGATCTCACTTTTGAAGTTCAGTAAGGTAGTTCTTTTAAGAGCTATCTTTTAAGGAATATATTGTTAATTTTAATGTTATTAAATAATATTGAAATATTTATTTTAATAGAAAATAGATAAAAATTTATTAAATTATATAAGTTTCTTATTTTTTTTTTTAATTTAGATATATGATAGAAATTTAATTTCTTTTTATGATAGTTTTCAATAGATTTATATAAGTTTATTTACATTTTATTTCCTTATAAGTATATTCATATAATTATTTTTAAATCTTTTTTAATTAATACTAATTTGGTTTGATTTGATTATAGAAAAGTATAATATTTATTTACACACTTGTAATACTTTGAGTTAATTAATTTTGTAAATATTTGTAATTGATTAAAAAATATTTAATAAAAAATTATTTTATTATAATATTATTTTCAAATTAAATTTATTAAAATAAATTTTTCTTAAATTTTATTAATTGTAACTGATTTACTAGTTAATATTTTACTTTTTTAATTAAATTCTTTAGATATCAATCATTTTAGACTATTTCATAAAGAAAATCCAAAATATATATAGAGTAATTTAAATTAAATAATATATTTTATTTTAAAATAATTGAACAGTTAATTTTGGTTGGTTATTTAAGAGATATGATTTATCATTAAGAAGAAAGACCAAAATTTCACAAAAATTACAGAATAAAAATTGGATGAATTTAAATGATTTATTATAAGACTAAAAATACAATATAATTTTAATTTGAATAGTATTTTAATATAAATAAAACTCAGTATAATTTGATATGATAGAAAATATAATAGTTAATAATAAAGGAGATAAAACAATATATATTCATACGATTGGAAATGATAAAAATTATTTTATTGTAGTTTTAACTTATTCAGCAAATATTAATAATTTTATTTTTCTATTTTTTTTATTTATTAATTCAAATTAATATAATAAATTTATTATAATTATTAGATGATATAAAGTATTCTCTGATTTGTAGTTTCAAGGATAAATAAATTTCTCAAGATGAAGTTATTCTAAAAGATATTATTTGTTAGTCTAAAATAATAAATAGATAACTTCAAATTTAACATAAATTTTTTATTTAGAATTCAGATGTCTGAAAATTTATCAAAAGAACCTGTTATGATAATTTATGATTCTTTTTACAATCATTTAGAGAAAAGTATTAAAACAAAATTTAAGCAACATAATTTTTGATTAGTTGTTATTTCTATAGGATTAACTAGTATATGTTAACCATTAAATGTATCTATTAATAAACCTTTTAAAGATAAATTATGAAAAAAATAGTATGAATAGATAAGTAAAGATAGTTCAAATGTAATTGTAATAGATAACTTAAAAGGGCAAAGATTGGCGAGATATGTAAATAGGTTAAAAGATCTTGAAATACTATTTCAAATCAAATTATCTTTTATTCATTCAAAAAAGATTCTATCTCCAATTTATTAGATAGATCAAAAACAATATAGTATATGAAGAAATTAATAAAATGATTGAAAAGTATGAAAAAGAAAATTTAGAAGGGTTAGATGATGATATTGAAATCATTAGCAATTAATA